GGGATCAAACACCTCTGCAATGCTAACTGTACAGTATTGATCTGGAAAAAATATGTAGACACTGTACAGAGGCTCAAACACCTCTGCTCAACATAGTGAAATAAAAATGTTTAAGTGTACAGAAAGTGTACAGAGGAAAAGAGAATGCCAGCTATGCCATTATTCAGTCATGCAGTTTTGGTCAAACCATCTCTAATAAGAGGTATGACTAGAACTCGAAAGATAAGTGGCTTTACTCAGAGGCGAGGAAAGTCAGAAGCTTGGGGCTGTTTATTTAAAAGAGAATTAGGACAAAAAAAAGACAGAGATAGACTAGAAATTACCTTGGCTACTTCAGTAATGCAAGAAAGACTTTCTATGAAATTGAGACTCAAAGCAAAAAAATCGAGATTAGAAAAAATCCTTATCTTCCCCAAACATCACAAAACCGTGCCAAAACCTATGAAGTCTGTTTGAAGTCAAGTTTAACATGTACAGGACTACCTTAAACTCCCTCTCTTCAACCTTTAAAAAACATGATGGCTTAGATGTCTTAAGCACAGACTCACCAACTTGAAAGCATTTCTGCTAGGATTTTTTTTAACTGCTTGAAGTTAAGATTTGATTTAAAGATAGAAACTAATATAGGAATTCCTACTCTTTCAGAATAAGCATATTCAATTTTAAAACATCCCTCTCTTAGCAGAGCTTTCTTTACATAACACTAGGGGGATGTAACTGGAGGTTCTAACCCCAACTTTTAAGAGTCTTAAAAATTAATGGTTGCTAACATACACACACACAAAAAGGTAAAAACAACTGTTCACTTGCCTGTCAGTCAGTCTGGACAATGAAAGTTAGATTAGTTTCCCTCATTTTGCTTCTATACACTAGCAACAAAGCTGCATTGTTTGAAAGGAGAACAAGGGAAATTCTGAAATTCTAGAAGTTCTACATTAAAATTAATAAACACTTAGCATCAATTTTGGGTTTTCATGAAGCTTCGAAAATAAAAAAGTGCTTTTCTTTCCCTCCCTCCACCTTACCTAGCTCACTTGAATAAGGAAATTAAATATGAAATATTAGAAGAGAAGCTGCATCTTGAAAATTATTTCGTTTGTTTTTGGTTTGTGACATATGCTAGTCAAGTCTAAAATGTTATCAACCCTAAACAGTTCCATAATCTTACAAGGTAGGAGGCTTCTTAGTTAACATAAGCAAAAGCAACTTTATCAGGCTCTGCAGTGCAGCTTTGGCGATACTATATAAGGGCCTGTTTGCCACATCTTTAAAAACTCCAAAAAGAAATTATATATATATGTTGTGAATATTACAAGCTGTTCTCTGAGCATTTCACCAGTGGAAGAATTGTTTCAAGCATGCAGAATCTTCCAGACAAGGTTGCCTACCTTTAGTCAGGCTGTCCAATGTCACCCAGCAAGAAGCAACTTGTTTTATAAATACATATTTTTAGCTTAGTTTAAGCTTTTTTAAAAAAAAAAATAATTTCAGCAGTAACTGTGCACCAATTATTTGTTTTAATAAAGGAAAACGGCACAACCTGCTGCCATCTTTAAAAGTGGCTATCAATACTAAGCATTTTTGTAAGGCAGTATACCGCTAAAGAAAATTGAGTTTGATAAAAGAGACAATTTCACACTTCCATTCATTAGTTAAGCAATTGTCAATTTAAAGAAACAAGACCAGAATGCCATGCTTAATATTATGACATGTGTCCATGCCAACCTGGCTCATTCTCTTTTCCCCCCCAATCTCCATTTCAGTTTTAGTGAAAAGGAGGAGGAAAAAAAAAAAAAAAAAAAAAAACCACATGTTAAAGCAGCCTGCTCTCCATCCCACTTTGTCCTAAGAAAACTAACACTGGGATCCTAAAACATAGGCAGGCTTTCAATTTCAGCATCTCTCAGCATCACATATAGCACTGTACACCTGAAGTACTTATTTATAAACATTGCAGCAAACCGATAGCGCAGCTTAGCCCAAACCAAGCACCACACTAAGCCTGGTACAGATACTGCCAAGACCACAAACAAGCAGCGTGTTTAGTGGCATCAATCTGCCAGCTTCAGTTCTAATGCCTGTCCTGAGACAATAACGTAGTTAGGCAAATTTTGTTCTTCTTTTAGTAGAAGGGCTTTACCCGTTGGTTTTTGGAGGAACATAGATCACTTGGTCGTGCACTATTATCAAAATTAATATTTCACGATCCAGCGCACGGCCCCTCACAACAGAAATAAAAGGGCAGCGAGCTCCCAATCCCACAAGACAGAGATCTCTGAATATCCGGGTGGGTTCTCCTCATTTAAAAGCATTTGGCTGTGAAACGTAACCCCAGTAACAGCAAACAAAAACAAAACAAAACCCCAAGCCCCTCTGGTGCTTTCCAAACAAGGAGTAAGAGGCTAATTATTGAACTTGTCCATTCTTACATGCCTTAAGAGCAGAAGTAGCAGAAGTTAATATTCCATTTAAATGCACAAAGTTGGGGAGTGGGGGGCAGGGATTGACTTTTGTGAATAACTACTCCAATCCTGTAAAAAACATAACAGTTTTTTGGGCACTAATTATCTCTCTAAAGAGAGCTAGTAAAATCACACAAAGTACTGCCTAGGACAGTATGGGTTTCAACTGCAGCTTAAAGCTGCAGTATGACTGTTCTATGAAAGTTACAGTAGTCAGGATGCATGGTCTAGAAATGTGGCATTCACCAGTTTTAAAATGCTAACACACAAGATGACGTGATGACTTAGCTTGAAATTAGTTTTTAGACTGCAGGGCTGGTGTTGCTAACTTGTTAACAAGTGTTTGCTACTAGCTAATAAATAAAGACCCAGAAGAGAGAATAGCAAGCAGTATCTCCCTCAAAATACATATATATATATAAAAAAATCTTATATATGTATACACATTCCTCAATACCGGTCTCGGACCTAGTTCTGGTTACACCTCAGCACCAAAGAAATGCATCAACCACATGTCCTATCTACTGCAATAGCCTTTGAGTAGCTGCCAACCAGTTTTGACACCAAAGGACTTGTCTGAACATGGTAAATCCCCCAAATGTTATTTTTAAAGATCAAGATAGCGCAAATATAGCAAAACAGGCCAGTAAATAAGATATAGAAAAGCAACTTGAATGTCATGCCGCCACACAACTTTTACCATAGCACATTATTTGCTTTGTACTGTAACTCAAGGTTTTCATTTGGGGGAAGGCTTGCAAGACAAACATGTAAGTTCATTTAAATCATTTTTAATCCAGATACAACCTATGTACTTTAAAGCCAAACAATCTATCACTGGGTTAATTCTTAACTACAGAGCCAGTGAAACAAAAGTGAAGTTACTAGCATGAACAAACGACCTAACACTAAATTACCCAGCCAATGAAACTTAAGGGAGAAAAAAAAAGTGTTTAAATTATTACTCTTGTACCAGAAATATTTAAACATGTACCAGAAAGGGTGTTGCTACAAGTACCTTGAAACTAGGCTGCAAATACCTTTAGAAACACCACAGGAGTTGCAATTTACACACCCTCAAAGGGAGCGTGGGATACGGTCAGCTCCAAACAACAAGGAGGCAACTAAAATAACGCAGAGCCACCTCCCCACCGCCCCAGTCTCTCCCCACTCGGCCACTCACCGGAGCGGCCTCGGGCCGGGTGCGGGGCCGGAGGTGCCGGGGGCTCCGCGCGGCCGCTCGGGCCTCGCCGCGGTGCCCCCCGCAGCACGTGCTGCGCACATAAACTTCCGGGTTGGGGCTGCATCGGCTGCGTAACCGTGTGTCCCATGCGCGACTTTTGTTTTCGGCCCCCCGCGGATTTAGGGGGCCCTTGAAGAGCATTAGGGGCCGCGGGAGGGCCAAGGGCCGCGGCTCCGGGCAAGGCGCCGAGCCGCCCGCGGCACAAAGGCGAGCGGCGGGGGC